AATTCTAGAAAAATTAATATGTTATACATTCACACTTTTTAATTAGGAATAAATCATATAAAAATTTCTTATGTTTCGAAATCTGCTGTCGGTGGCGACAATTTTGCAGTCTCAAACTATATTCGAGCGTCAACTTTGTCTGTGCGTCAACTGTCGTTTCTACATCTTTACGTTTATCAATGGTTGTTCCTGTAAAATCAATTCCTGCATAAATTGGGCCTCCCTTCAGTCTCAGGCTCAGTCGGTAAAGGCGCAGCTACAAAGCAAGACCATACTGGAGGTGGCTGGGTTCAATTCCCAGTCCGGTCTAGAAATTTTTCGGGTTGGGAAATTTCTCGACTTCCCTGGGCATAGAAGTATGATTGGACTTGCCACACAATTATACCAATGCAAAAATGGTACAGGCATCGAAAGCTCTCAATTAATAACTGTGGAAGTGCATCTAGAACACTAAGTTGAGAGCACGCTATAAGCTAATATGCGATATGCAATAAGCTTGAAATGCGAAGAAGAAGAAGAAGAAGCATGAATTGTTCCTGTAAAATTAATTATATACTTCAAGCTGAACATTGCATTAGGTCCTAAGTAACATTGATCGATTCTCTTCGTCGACTCTTTAAATCCAATGACATTTTGAGGTCATCTTTATATACAATAAGTCCCGCATGAACACAAATATATACCTGAAGTGTATTCACACTTTCAGAATAAAAAAAATACTTCTTTGATGCTGGCACGTATTTAGTAATAAAATTATATTAGTTGTAATTCATATATATCCATATAGAAATAATTATATGGATGGTAAATAAACTTAGCTTAGCGTTCCAAAGCGTTAGTTAGAACAATAACCACGCAAAAGGAAGGACTTGATTCAACATTAAACTATTATCACTGATCACTATGAAAAACACTAGGGACACGTGATATTTGATAATTATCACTAGAAACTCTTTTTAATACCACTTCTGTGCTTTCAATTTATTTTTTTCCAGATCAAAATTGCAATTATTTTTATTTTTTGTAAGAGCGAAAACGACACAGCATAACAAAAACACTCATTGTGGCCTACTTCGAACAAAGATATTGGGAAATCGATCATGCGTTTAAAAAAAGAGATAATAGAAATATATGCAGGACTGATAATAAATAATTCTCAACATTTTAGATCTTAGTAAGTCTACGTGATCACAGAAAAATTTCTTAGTACCCAGACTAAGAAAACTAAGAGACTTAGAATTTTTTAAAGATCCAAAGTAAACAAATAATATAGATTTGAATTTTGGCACAACCTGGGATTTGACAAAAAAAAAAAAATAACAAAATTCATTAAAAATCAGCTTCAGAAACAGAAAAACTTTCACGATTAGAATAAAATATCAATTTATGACTTAAAAAGTTAAATCTACTTTTGGTTGCAATTTTTAATCCACTTCATCACATATCAAGTTTAAGAATATCACCACGAAGAAATGTTAGAAATTTAGTGCTCTGCTAAGCACAGCCTGTAAACCACTGCCTTTGAACATAAAAATAAAGTAGATATTCCTTTAAAATGTGCCCTTATACACTCTAGCAACCTCTCACGGAAACTAACGATTTTAAATTGGCTCACTGGTTAGCCTATTGGTCCCAACCAAATCGATTAACGTACCCCATTCTAGTCGAAATTCTAGTACTACACTACGTTTGCTTTTATTCGCTATGAAAGTTTGACAGATAAAATGAGGGGTTCGTGGATTTTCCTATGTTTCGAGGGGTGCATCGATTAGCTTGGGACCAAAGAGAGTACCAGAGCTGAGCCAAAAAGTTGAGCACATTTCTTCGGGACCTTAAAGACATAGAGTTACCTCTATGCTATCACTCCGCTCACCAATCTTGTGTCATCTTGTTTGTCAGTCTGCCACAAGTGTGCCGCAGGTGCGATATCAATTATACAAGGTCTGGCCCAACTGGCTTATTAATGTTAGTGAAATGTGCAAATGTTTAGTGGTGTTCAGACATGGAAAATCATTTACATTCATTTCATGCATTCATTTACATTCATTTGCCTCTAACTTTTTTCATCAACAGCATTCCGCAAAATGATGTATAGAGCTTTAGTAGGTTTTTTATTAGCCCATAACTCAAATTTGTATCTCTTTTGCATCACGAATTAGAGCGGGCAGAACTTGTTACTGTTTTTCAGTGAATGTAAAATAGAGAGTGGATTCTGTTAGCTTTGGTTCGTCATGCATAAAAGATACGGATTTGAGTTATGGCCTAATAACAAAACCTACTTAAGATCTATACATCATTTTGCGGAATGCTGTTGATGAAAAAAAGTTAGAGCTAATAATAAAACCTACAAAAGCTCCATACATTATATTGCGAAATTCTGTTGATGAAAAAAGTTAAGGACAAATGAATGTAAATGAATGCACGAAATGAATGCAAATGATTTTCCATGCCGGGTGGTATTCGTAGTTCATCGCAATGTTTATATTTTTATAAGAAACAGTGGTTTTCAGTGACGACACGTCTGCCATTCACAGTATGGAATGTTGTGCTGTCGTGACATCGTCATTATCAGCGCCGGTGGTGTAGTGGTAAGCGTGACTGCTTTCTCAACCCAATTGGTCTGGATTGATCCCAGCCGAGGCCGGTGGGATTTTTCTGAGGCATAAAAATCTCTGGTAACGTCTTCCTTCAGAAGAGAAGTACACTGGAGTCGCTTTTTACGCGTTTTTTTCTTACACGGTCTTTTTTTACTCGGTTTTTTTTTTACGCGGATTTCGGAATTTACGCGGTTTTTTTTACGCGGATTCCGGAATTTACGCGGTTTTTTTTTACGCGGTTTTTTTTTACGCGGGACGTATCACCCGCGTAAAAAGCGACTCCAGTGTAAAGCCGTTGGTCCCGGCCCATGTGTATTGATTGAATGGGTAAGATATCTTACGCAGGTGGGGAAGCTGCCTTCCTGCACATTCGATTGATGGCAATCGATGTCCGTCGGTGATTGGCACTAGATTGCGGAACAGATACCGACGTTAAATAAAGGAAATAAGAAGAAGAAGAAGACATCGTCATTCAGCAATGTTTACAACATTTTTGCTTCTAACACCAGCAAGCTGCCTGTAGTCCCTAATAAAAATAAACATAAAAGAGAGCTTAACGACGTGTTCGTGGTATCATCCAAACCATTTGTGAGATAGTTTAACCATCCAGGTTACAGTTCGTTTATGGTATTTGTTTATTAGGGGTTCCAGACTTTGTGTCGCATCTACTTGCATCGCGCATTATCTTTTTGCAGGAAATCTTCAGAATCGTCATCAATCTTCTTTCTATCTACTCAGCGTGCGCGCAGCCAGCCACAGCAAAACACAATTTTTTCCGCATCGTAAATAGAGTCATCCCCTTCTGGAAATTTTTATAGTCTTAGAAAGTTTGAACTTGATGCTTTTTTCAAGAATATTAAACTTACAAAACAAAATATATATTGTTGCTAAGTTAGGAAATGCGGGGCTTCCATGCCCCCTGGCGACAACTATGAAGCTGTTATCTAGCTTCTAATACGACAATGACGACAATAAATGATTTTTGTAACGAAAATCGATGAAGAGAATCGAGTTTCAGTCGAGTCCACTAGATTTTGTCAAAAGTGGATTTACTCAAAAGTGAGTTGAATTTTCCGGGATTTTCCAGGAAAAACTTCTCGAATATGAGGAAAATCGATAGAGGTTCCACTCAGTCTATTAGTATACTCCTACACTAAGTAAAATTTTCAAAGATTTTTCAGAGTGTGTCACTTTTACTCATTCGTATGGTAAAATTTCTAAAAGCGTAGGTCGCTCAGCGCTTAACCTACGCTTTTAGAAACTTCTTCATACGAATGAGTAAAAGTGCCTCACTCTCTGTTAAAACATATTCGTTTTCAGTGTGATTTTCTACGGGTTTAAAATTTAACTCACTTTTGAGAAAATCAATTTTTTACGAACTTGAGCCGGCTCTACTCAATTTTGAGTTTGTTTGATCGACCGTGTAGGACACTGGAGGGTGGCTCAAAATAAAGTACTCTACCGTATACAATATTAATACTAAGGGGAACCCTAATAAACAAATACCATAAATGAACTGTGTCCCGGATGGGTAAACTGTCCCACAAATGGTTTGGATGATACCCTGGACACGTCGTTAAGCTCTCTTTTATGGTTATTTTTTATTAGGAAAGGTTACCGGCCTGAAAAAAAAAAAAATTAATTTCGGTTCGCTTTTATTTTTCTAAAAATATTGGGAAAAATTATCAAAAATCCAAGAAAATCAGTTTCTTTCTTAGATTCTTGACAAAAATTACATGTAAAAATATTTTTGCTATCTCCTCATGAAAAAATATTGGACTCTCAGCAAATCTGAAAAGTCGATGTTTTGTGGTTTTTTGAGTCCAACTTTATGCCATAATGACTTATGAAAAATGTTTTTGCACGTGAATTTTCTTTGAAAAATTAGAAAAAATGTGAAACTTTTAAATTTTTGATACTTTTTTCCAACATTTTTAGAAAAATTAAAACGTAATTATTTTTTTCGAAGCGGTGAGCTTTCCCTTAACGTAAACGGAACATATAGGGAAAATGTTGGCTTCGGCAATACCTTTACCTATTATCGTCTGGGGGGTAAACAACGTCCTTGAGAGCTCCCCTAAAGGAAATATATTTTTTTGGATTTAATTCCAGCATTTTGCCTACCGTCAAGTTCACTTTGCTTCGTTTCTCGCTCTCTCGTTTCTTCGCCGACTATCGACATGCATTCTCTCTGCTGTTCATTGATAACAATGTATGCTATGCAGCATCATAAGCTTTGCGCTCGGGCACTTTCTCTCCATATTTATGCTGCTCACTTCATCCACAATCTCCGGCGTGGAGTGAATGTATGTTGGCGGCTGTCGTCGTCGTCGCGCTTGTCGCTTGTCTGATTCGGTTCATTCAGTCAGTATGTTTTCGCAAGCGGTACGCTACGGAACGCGGATCGAGGTGTACGGATTGCAGAGCAGACTACGGTCGATTGTTGTGATTTGATCAAAACTGCGTGCTTCCCAGCACCTAAAGGCCGCACTGGTGTGTTGTTATTGGTGGTGGCGAGGGTGTGCGATAAGCATTTGGTGCAAGCCAGACAAGTGAGTGTGCGTGAATGCATTCTGTGTTTACCATAGCGGCTTGTTCCCGGCGGGTATCTCTCGGTAATGCTCAATCCAAACTGGCTGGCTGGAGTGAAGTGAAGGCCCTTTTCGCTGGTGTTGAGAATTTACCGGGTCAGGTGCCGAAACGTGCTTATCTCATCCACATTGCGGTCGTGATTTTACCATCAAACGGAAAAAAAGTTTACGTACAACCACCGAGTTTTCGTGGTTAGAGGAAAGCTGATCTCCTATTTGGCGGATTATGATAGCGTTATTAGGTTGATTATTATCTGGAAAGAAGTGTGAAAACGTGAGCTTGGAGCGTGTTTGCCAAAGAGTTACCTTCGTACAATACTCGGAAGAAAACCTCAAATGTGAGATGAAAATTACTGGTTACAACTGTGTGTGAATTGTGAGTTGCCGGATAGTGTATTATTTGGTTTCGACTTGATTGGTGAATAGTATTTCCATAACTGATAAGTGAGATTGTTGGGGTTACAACGCTTTTTTTCGAGTGCGGCTTTCATTCGTGGCTGAACTAATGAATATTGATCCAACAGAGAGCCGATACACCTGCATGCGGATGAAAAACTTTTCTTGTGCTGCCACGGCATAGGATTTTTTGAATTTTTGATATAGGTATGTTATATTATTCGTTGTGTATAAAAGTTTTACTAAAAACACTAAGATGTCAGAAACTGTTTTTTATTGCATTTTAATGGAGGAGCATCCAAAATTTAAAAAATACCCTCTCCCGTTGTTACATATTGTCACATTTTCCACGACCCCTCATCCACACGGTCACGTCTCGTAATCATTACCCCCCCCCCCCGTATCGTAAATTGAACCAAACAAAACGACTGAAGTTCGATGGAATTCTTGGATGTCATACGGACTTCGGATATCTTGAATATTCTACGGACTACACAGAATTTCAATGGATTTCTTGGAAGTTCATGTTTTTTTGTCGGATTCGTGGACCTCTCGGAAGTTCAGCGATCTTCTCGAAAGTTCTATGGGCTTCTCAAATATTCTACAGACAGAATAGACAGAATGGAACATCTGCAGCCCTTTAAGATATTCTACTGACTTTTGGAAGTTCTACGGTCTTTTTGGAAGCTCTACAGACTTCTATGGAATTTTCATGGAAGTTTTAAGGATTTTCCTGATGTTCTATGGTCTGCTCGGATGTTATACGGACTTATCGGATATTCTATGAACTTCTCGAGAACTTTATAGACTTTTTGGAAGGTTTGGACTTAGGTAGTTCTCCGGACTTCTCGGAAGATCGGATGTTAAAGGAAAAGAAAAGTTCATAAAACTTTCATTTCCGACATATCGAACAACATCTCCGCAATTCCCTGACAGTTCCAGGAGGAACTCGAAGCATCAGACAAGTTTGACTATCCCTATTGTTCACAGAACTTTTGATCATTTCATAGATCTTCCGGCGCACTCATGGCTTTTACGACAAGTGCAAGAAAATTTCAATAAGTCCAACGGAAGTCCAAGGATCTTACGATTGTTTTGAGGTTTGTTTACTAATTACTAGTTCACGAAACTCGCCATGTTTCTAAGGTTTTTTTTCAAGATATACTCTAAAAACATGCAACAGACAAAAATGATCAACAAAAATTGCTTTTACAAAGTTGGTTTATTAAACCGCTTCTCCTAGGCTAAATGCCGGCACCTTGGACTTAACGCTACCCATCAAATCCTGTGAAACACTTGCACCATCTTTCTTACACACTTTCATCCATTCTTTCTTCAAATCCTTGTCGTTTTTGAAGACCTTCCCTGTTTTCCGGAGCTTGCCCTTCATAATCGCCCAGAATTTTTCTATTGGGCGAAGTTCTGGCGAGTTTGGCGGATTTGCCTCCTTCGGCACAAAAACAACATCGTTGGCTTCGTACCACTCCATCACTGGTTTCACGTAATGGCACGATGCCAGATCCGGTCAAAACAGAGTGTCACCTTCGTGGGGCCGGAGGAAGGACAGCAGGCGCTTCTGGAGGCATTCTTCGTTATATATTTGGCCGTTGATGATGCCGGTCATTATGTACCGCTTGCTGAATTTACCGTACCTACAGATCGTCTGCCACACTAAGTACTTCTTGGCAAATTTGTCGACCTTCTTCTTCCGGAACATCCAGGCGGGACTTGCCGACGAAAAACTTCAGGCCGGGGATGTGCTTGGCGTTCGCCTTAATGTACGTCTCGTCGTCCATTACTATGCATTTCGGCTGCACCAACCACTCGCGGTACAGCTTCCTGGTGCGGGATTTGGTCACCGTATTCTGTTTATCGGTTCCGTTAGGCGCCTTCCTTACCTTGAAGACATGAAGTCCGGCCCGCTTCATTGTCTGTTGGATGAACCAGACGAAACCATTGACCTTCTTGGCCACGTCCCGAATCGAAGGTTAGGATTGCACTTGAACTAATCCCTCACGTTCCTTGCGTTCATGGGATCGGTCATCTTCGCCTTTCTTCCGCTGCCAGCTCGCCGCTGGGTTGTATGGGTCTTCTTGAAGGATTTTACCACACAGTACACGGTCGAATGGTCGATTCCAAACTGTTTCGTGATCCACCTGTGGGACTGGCCTGGATTTTCCACGACCACTCCCATTAATTTTTTGTCGAAGCACTTCTTGGTTGGAAGCCATCTCGATAACCACTTGACAGATTGTGACGAGATTTTGCACATGTAAACATTACACTCTAAACTAGTTTACTCAAAATTTTATCAATTTTTACCCATGCAATAAAAAGTTATACACAACAGAAAGTATTGCATTTTTGTCGAGTACAATCTTTACTTCAAGGATCCTTTCTCTTTGATATTGCAAATTATCAAATCCTAGGGATAATAACAACTTACCAACTTAACCAAAATGAGCTACATATCTGCGCATTTTGAAAGTGAATAAATGTGTAACATAGTATCAATGTTAACATGTTGTGATTTTTAGCATATTTGACTCATTTCAATGCATGCTCTCACAAATTAAAACTAAAACATATGCTGATGTGACGTCAAGGTTGAACAAACCCCCTCCCCTGTTTGTCACATTTGGTTACGTTTTCTCAAAGCACTTTGAAAGTAAAGAATTAGCTTTTAAAACATCACATCAAATAACAAATAAGATTAATTAAACATTATCGTGAAAAGTCTGACAAAAACAGTTGCGAACAGACGAGAATCACTGATGGTAAATTGAAGCATTTCGTTTGCCTTAGAGATCTCGAATTAGTAAGCCACAGCATAAAAAATAAAGTCTTTTGTATTTTTTAAAATTAATCTTGAAATCTTACTTTTTTTTTTAAAGTCGAAATTTGAAGACATTTTCTTTGTGCTACAATGATGTGATTGTTTTTTCTTAGACTGCATCTAGAGAACTTGTCTAGGTCCCAGTGTTATGAAAGTGTGTCTTCAATTTGCCTAAGTTCGAGATGTTGAAAAAAATTCTCTGTGCCTCAATCTCGCGCTATGAACTAATAAACTTAATAACTTGTTTGTTATTCAAACAATGAGGGCAGATTGTGAGAACGGAGTTTAGACTAGGACCGTGCTCTTGCTTATTTTTTTAATACTGATTATTTTAGATCAAATTTTTGAGATCTTAAACCATTTGTTTTATTATAAGAAAGCGTGAAAAATGCTCATGATGGTTTGTGAGTTTATAAAATATCTAGAAGTGGGTCGCAATCAATGAAAGATTAGAACTATATCTTTTCGATCTATAAATTTCACTATTGGTTATCTTTTTTATTGTTGTAATGTCACTATTTGGTCACTATTTTCGTTATTTTCGTCACTTAAGTCACTACTATTATATCACATACCCTCTACCTAAGAAAGTTTGGTATTCAGTTAAGAATGCGCGCTTATTTTTTTAGTATGATTTCGCGTCTGTTGATTTGAGTGATTCAGCTTCAGACGAGTGTTTTGTGACGAAGTGGAGATAAATATTTAGAATTTATTTAATGAACTCCCAAACACTTTTTTTTGTCTTTATTTAAGAGATTTTTAGCGACGGCCTAGTTCATCTCCGAACTCCCAAATACTGATTTTATACCAATGAAGGTCTGGGCCAAAGGGCTTATTGGTGTTAGTGAAATGTGCAAATGTTTAGTGGTGTTCGTATTTTATTGCAATGTTTATCTTTTTACACGAAACAGCTGTTGGCAGAGACGTATTTCTATCTGTTCTCAGTATGTTGGCAATGACGTATTTCTATCTGTTAGGAGATATTCAGCAATGTTTACAACACAACACAACACCAGCAAGCTGCCTGTCGGCCCAGACCTTATATAAATGTCATTGATTTTAAACGACTCAAAAGTAATTTCGTCAATTTTAAAGCTGCAAATTTTCAGCAAAGCTTCAATTCAGGAGTAAGAGCCACGAGCAGGTTCCTTTAGGTTAGTTTTTTTCAAGGTTGCAAATACTCATTTCAGCTAAATCAATGTTTTTTTTTTAAATTATGAAATAATTAGATGCCATAAATTGGTAGGATACAAGAAGAGGTTGCAAAGAATGTGTTTGACATATTAAACCTGTTTATTTCACTTCATGGGAGTCACAATCAGCGATTTTTCACACACTCAATCACTCACTCACTCACTCACTCACTCACTCACTCACTCACTCACTCACTCACTCACTCACTCACTCACTCACTCACTCACTCACTCACTCACTCACTCACTTACTCACTCACTCACTCACTCACTCATTCCCTCACTCACTCACTCACTCACTCACTCACTCACTCACTCACTCACTCACTCACTCACTCACTCACTCACTCACTCACTCACTCACTCACTCACTCACTCACTCACTCACTAACTCACTAACTCACAAACTCACTCACTCACTCACTCACTCACTCACTCACTCACTCACTCACTCACTCACTCATTCACTCACTCACTCACTCACTCACTCACTCACTCAACGATCAGCAAATCTCTGATTGTGATTCATAGAAAGCAAAATTTACAGCTTTGATGTTCAAACGCATATTTTGTAACCTCATCTTGTAAGTTACAAGTCAAACATGCCATCATACCATCTTTTGGTTCTATTATGCCGAAAAACATTATTTAGCTGAAATGAGTATATGCAACCTTGGTTTTTTTTCTTTAAATATGTTCCTCTTGTATGGACGACTTGTATATAGTTGTAGGACTCTGGCTTTTTAAAATAATTTTCATAAATGGCGTTTGATAAATGTTTTTTTTTTCTTTTTCATTGTGGTAATGAAATTGTTTTTTTTTATTTTTTAACTGAATGTTTAGACAATTTGTTCATTTCACTTTTTGATCAAATTTCTGTAAGTCAGTTATGAGTTATAATTTTAATTAAGAAAAAACGGCCTTTTCTCTAATTTTGGATTAGATTTTATATTTTTTGGAAAACAAGTATGCAAATTGCTGAATTTGATTTGACCTCTACGTCCACAAAGTTTCGTTGGATTCTTAACAGAACGATATTCATCAGTGCAGACATAAAAAAAATTGTGGGATGAAATCAAAATTCTATAACAGTACCTGTCTTGAATGTATGGAGGAAATGTTGACAGTTACATTGTTTTTCTATATTTTTTTATTTTCTATTTTTTTTTTTAGAAAAATAGTTTTAAATAATTTTGTTTTTTCGGTGTATGAATACAATTATTATTTTTTAAACTAAAGCTTGAGTTATTTGATATCTGGACGAACTGTTTATTTTACTGCAGTGTTTCTAGCGGTCGGATCTGGAATGTTTTGATAGCAGTTTGTTTTGAAATGTTTCCTCTGTCAGTGCTGAAAAGTTCGTCAAAATAAATTTTGTTTAAAAGAAGTTATACTTGATAAAAGCCACGAGCTAAAAATTAATTTTGGACACCCACTTGGAAAATCCGACGTGGTCAGGTTGAAAAATCACTTAGTCGTTGAAAGTGGCTAAATCGACCGTGTGCAGTGTTCTCAAACGTTTTCGTGAGCGGAATACTATTGATCAGCAGGATCATAGCAAGTGTCGTAGTGGAACTTAGGATCGGAAGCTGCATTTTAAAGTGTTGAGAACGATTAGGGCAAACCCAGGGCTGTCGGAATATAATATCGTCAATAAATTCAATGCCAGCCAAAGCACTGTCAGAAGGATTCGTCAGCGGGCCAGTAAGCAACCAAACAGGACACTGAAGCAGAATCTAGTGGCCAAAAGATGTGCCCGGAAGTTATACAATGAGGTTCTTACAAAGTACGAAGAATGCCTCCTCATGGACGACGAAACGTACGTGAAGATGGATTATGGGCAATTTCCCTGACAAAATTTCTATAAAGCCACTGGTCGAGGTGCTGTCCCTAACAAGTTCAATCTCGTTTTTGCCGATAAATTTGCAAGAAAGCTTATGCTCTAGCAAGGTATTTGTAGCTGCGAACGAAAACCCACTACAGCGTCCTACAGTGGTATCAGGGGTATGATGGTTATCTCAACGGGGTAGAGTTCTTCGAAAAGGACATCAATCCACCCAACTGCCCTCAATTCCACCCAATTGAGAAATATTGGGCAATTGTCAAACAGAACTTGAAGAATGGGGGCGACCCCGGCGTAGTGGTTAGCATCCATACCTCTCACGCCGGAGTCACGAGTTCAAATCTCACCCCCGGACAAGTCACGAATGACCCAAGAGTGTTAAAGTGACTATAATAAAAAAAAAACTTGAAGAAGAGTGGAAAGGTGACTCGGGATGCGACAAAGATGAAGAGATGGTGGAACAAAATGGCCGCTCAGGTTAGCCAACAGAGTGTCCAAAATATAATGAGTGGTATTCGAAGAAAAGATAGAGATTTCATCAAAACCAAATCGGAATATTTTTTCGCTATTTTTCCTTTAAAGTACAATAAATGACCTTCATTTTGGGTACTCAACATTTTTATTTCATTAAGATGGTTCCGTTTTTTACGTCCTGATATTAAATGACTCAAGCTTTAGATTCAATTCACTATTTTCTACAATTCACTCCCTCACCAAATTTGTGTAGTTCTTATAATTTCGGAGTTATATTTTTAAAGTTCAGCCCTTTCAATTAGCCTAGATTTTTTTTTAAGGGAAAACAAGTATGCAGCATTGCGTAATAGGGCCATACAATAATTATTAACACTTAAATGAGCTCCTTGTATTCAATGCTAACTAGTTGGTAGATAATGATCTCATTTTTTTGTTTTAACTTAATTTATAAAAAATAGAAAAAAATTATTTTTAAGTATATTTGTGTACTTTTAATTGTTAAAAAAGTTTTCGAACCTTGCGAGATTCGATCATATAATCTATGACCAAATGAAACTTCAAGTTGTTCCAAACACATTACTGGTGAGAAATCATCCGGGCTCGTCTGGATCGGTATTTGTGATCCTTTTGAAAACTTGTAAAATTTTGGATCAAAAATTAATTTTAGTTTTTGTCCCAATTTAACTCAAAATCGCTACTTTTTGCATGATGTCAGTTCATAATATCACTCAAAATAGCAGTGACCAATTTTGACCAGGTTTTTGTCCTAGTTACTACCCTTTGCCTTGTTAAGGTAATTTTTCAAATTGGGTATCCCCCTAAACATCAGAAATTGATAGAAAATCACAGTAAACAATGCATGGTATGTTCATATTTTGTCATGTGGGGATAATTTAACAACTCATAAAATTGAAAACACTCAATATCCGATAATCTAATTCTTAATTTCATTAATAACATAACAACAACACTAGATTCTTGGGCAGAAAATACGATCATATATGACTTTCATGTGGTCCCCTGAAATTAAGGTGAAAGTGATCTAATGAGTGCACAAAGTTCAAAAATGGTTTTCTCTGAACCATCACTTCAGATTGCAAAAAGCTCTCCTCGTTTTGTGCGAAGTAATAAAAGGAAATCATTGAAAAGAGCTTTTTGCAATTTGAAGTGATGTCTCAGAGAAGACCATTTTTGGATTTTTTTACTCACATTAGGTCCCTTTCACCATTAGTCTACAAGACACTTATGCTCCAACACGGCATGTTTTCTCGGTACCGTCCTGTTAGTAAATTGAGATATTTTTCATTATTTCGGTCAGTATGCCAATTCAAAGCATGTGGCATAATTGTAACGCAAGAACTATTTAAGGGGAAGTTTGCCGCTCTGAAATTAACTTTGTTTTCGGGACATTTTAATTTTTCTAAAAAATTTGGGAAAATTTATCAAAAATCCAAGAAAATTAGTTATTTTCTTAGATTCATGAGAAAATTTAAATGTAACATGTAATTTTTTCTATCTCATCATGAAAAAAATGGACTCTCAGCAAAACCGAAATTTCGATGATTTGTGGTTTTTTGATTCTCTAAAAAATTAGAAAAATTGTGATTTTTTTAAATTTTTTATGCCACTTTCTAATATTTTTAGAAAAATCAAAACGTAATTATTTTTCGGAAACGGTTAACTTACTCTTAATGAAAACGATATAAGGACCATTTTTCTACAACATTTTAAAAGGCTATCTAGATAGTTGGAGATGCTTAACGTTAAACATCAGACTTAAAGGGGACATTTGATACGATAGATGTGGAGATGAAAGTATACATATATAGAATTGATATAGTTGATGCCAGTGGTGGCGGGGTATAGGGAGTTTGGTAAAGGGGATGCTCTACTCGATTCGTACCTTCCTCAAAATTGTGCTTTGCTTGCTTTCTACTTTATTTTATACACAGCAAAAAAAAATTGATATTACATCCGAGATGCATTTCAATCATGTCGAAAATCACATGTAATTTATATGGCAAAAAAAAATAAACAAATGCAGTAAAAGTAGCGTAATGTCAGTACGTGCACTGTATTATTGATAATTTTGTTCTTTTTGGCAAGTAAAATTACACCATATTTTTGACACGATTGACGTGCATCCACTTTGATGTGATAGGTATCTAAATTAAAATTTTGCTGTGTACAATTTTCACACTACCGTATTAGAACGGATCTATCAACTCTATACTTTCATCTCCTCATCTTTTGTATAAAATGTCCACTTTAATTGTGATATTTGACGTCAAGCATCTCCAACTATGTAAATCGTTTACTTCACACCCCTAATAAAGATAACCATAAAATAGAGCTTAACGACGTGTTCGGGGTATCATCCAAACCATTTGTGGGATAGTTTACTCATTTGGGATACAGTTCGTTTATGATATTTGTTTATTAGGGACATGAAGTAATAAAAAACATGATTAGTTAAAGTGCTATCTGAATGTTTTACCCTTCATATCAGTGATATTTCTAATATGGTAGTGTTGATCGCTGACGTGGACTTTCCAGTTCCAATTCCAACCAAAACCAACGAAGAAGAATAAGTAGAAAAATCTGTGCTTATCCGACAAAAACATGAAGAGAACGTTTTCAGAAATATATCTACTATGATTTATAAACATAATTTTGAACAATTTAGTTCATGCAATTAGAGTAATTATTGGATTATTCATTTCCTATGATATAATTAGACATTATATTTTATTTTGTTAATATAAAATACAAATTCAACACTTGTGATTTCTCGCTTTCTACCTTACGATTGACTCAGATCTCCCTATTTACTTTTTTACAGCTTCCTGATCGATAATCCTTACTCGACTGTGTATCATCTCTCGGACTGCATCTAATATCGTCGCTTCACTACCACCAGCATACACATGTCCCCCCTGTCTGGCAGCCAAACGATTGACAGAGTAGGTGTACATAAAATAAGACGAGACGGGATAACGGAATGAGTCAGCGTTTGCTTACTGGAGAATTCCTCTGAAATCGATTTTTCTCTCCTCCTTGATGCCGACTATACCACCGGTGCAGTACGATGCTGTATATGCTGTGTTCAGAAATTGCACCACCGAACATCTGATTTGAGTGGTAATTTTTATTTGGAGAGCGGAGAGACTCAGACAGATGCGATAGTACTTTAGCTAGTCGATATAGCTAATGCTATACGGTATTGTTATTGTGGGCTATCATATGTTCTGTGCTCACGAGCTTTCGTCAGCTGAAACCATTGCGACGCGACCAACAAACGGATATGACTCGGTGACAAGGACGCCCAGGGAGCGGTATGAAAATTGATAGTTGATGCGGTGAAAGGGGATATTGATTTTCATTTGTTCGAAGGCTATTTGATTTTGCACGTGCTAGGGATTTGGTTCCGCAGTTCTGGAGTAAGAAGAAGCGAAGAAGTAGCGGAACGAAATCAAATAGATAGTGGAAGCGTCTTTTCGGTGTATATAGTGAAAGATCGAGGAGGAGAAGAGATGAAGAAATAATGCGAAATCGAAAGTGAAATCTCCATAAAAAGTAAGAAATATTTATCGAGGCCTGCGTGCATAGTAAAGGTCAATAGGAGAAGAGGTGAGGAGGAAAAGTGTGTCATTGATCGATCACATTCGCGAATTAAGGGAAAGACGACAACCGGAGAGTATACCTTTAGTGAGGTGCTGTGACAAAGTGTCTCTGTTTATGGTTATACGCTCGCTAGTAATCACTCTTTGCAATTTGAGTCGAATTGAAAAGGAGAATCAGGAGGAGGAGGAGGAGACCTTGACAGCTACAGGAGAGGCAGGCGAGAAGAGTTAATGTTGCGAAGGTGAATAAAGGAATGGAAGCAAACAAAACAGGTCTGCAGAGTACCATGTGTATGTAAATTTTTTTACGAGTGATCCAAATTGGAATTCGGTCAGGTTGGATGAAGAGTAAGATAAATTATAAATAAATATAGAAAGTCGAAGTGGTGCGGAATAAAAGGTGGAAGGACAAATCGGAGCAAAACAAGTAAATACGAAATTTGTCTGGCTTAAGTTCGAAGTAAGTTGAGAAAGCAGCGATCGACAGAATGATGCGAAGACGCGCACCGAATAGATATAGCTGCATCAACTACCCCAGCCGAGTGGAGGGATGGTTGGATTTTTGTGGTAAGTATATGATTTTTTTTTGTATTAAGATGTTTAATTATTCAGTAGTACAGTTAAAGCGGAACCGTCGTTTAAAAATATAGGTTATTGTAATAAAACAACGTTATAATGAACTCAAACTGTTATGTTACATACATGTTTCCTCAGGTATCATTTACAGTTTTATAGAGGTTTTATAGCATTCTACAAGTCTTAATCATGGTCCACAGAACCTTCATAAAACCGAAATCGTTACTTGGGCTCTACCCAGAAATAAATCCGATTCAATTTTCATGAATAAAAAATCATGAAATGAAAAAAACTTGCCATCCCATGAAATTGTAACAATGATTCATGATTTTGGGATGGAAATTCATGATTTCATAATGCAGAGGAATCCAGACCGCTAAAAGCGTTACACGTACTTGGCAAACCATGTTCATAAACCACACTACATAGGTATCTCTTATACGCCTTTTGCCTTCCATCTTATACAAGTACTGATAGTCTCGTGGTCAAAGTAAGGGTTTAGAGAACTCAAGGTTCTTGGTTCGAATCCAGTCTTATGCTTTTTTAAATTAATTTTTCGTTTAAAAGTTAAACCCATGAATTTGGCTCTTGATTTCAACTCGGATGATTCATGATTTTGGAAATATTTGCTGCGTTACGCAAAAGTTGCTCATGATATAATGAATATTATTCCTGGTGTATTTTCATAACAGGAAAATACGCTGTGTTCATAAAATCATGAGTCATTTGACACATTTCGGAGATCGGATTTTTTCCCGTGTATAGTATTCTCTTTCAATTGGATGAAAATAATCCGCAGTTCCTTTAATCCTACGCCATGGAGTGAACTTTGATCTGAGCACAGATTCCTTGGCGATAATTTGTTTTCCACTTTTGTCAAGTCTTTTTCAAATTCTTCGATTGAATTCGCTGCCTTAAAGCGTTTTCCTTGGAAAGGGCCCCAAAAATTTTGCCTCCGGACAATTCAGAGGATTCATCTTTTTTGGCACGTATTGCACATTGTTTGTTTTGTACCAAGCTACCGTGTCTTTCGAGTAGTGCATTGACACCAAATCGAACCTAAATGGTACTGGGCCATTATGTTGACGGATCATGGGCCGCAGACGTCGATTTAAACACTTCCGAATGTAAATTTCAGTGTTCATTGTCTCCTTCGTCACAAATGGCTTTGACAACTTGCCACACCCACATATCAATTGCCAAACCATGACCTTCTTACCAAATTTTTCGGTAAAAATTGACTTATCGGCATCGTCAACTTCCTGGCCATCACGGTCTGTGTAGTATTTGTCTTCCGGAAGCGTCTTGTAGTCAAATTTCATCGTCCATGATAACACACGCCAATTTTCCACATAGCAAGCTATCATTTAGCCTTTGAGCACTCGGTTTGACGGATGCGGTTTGTTTCTGACTCCGTTTCGGCTTCTTCTGCTTCTGGAACGTTTTCAGTCCGTTTCTTACCTTGGCACGTTGGACGTTACTTTTCGATGTTCTCAGTTTTTTGGCCAAATCGCGAATAGAGGCACTTTTCTTATTAACGAAAACATCGTGATCTTCTGGTCCACTTTTCGGTCCACCAGTCCTGGTTTACGGCCAGATCTCGATGTGTCCTCGAAGGTAACATCTTCACCAAATTTCCGGATGGTGGTTTGGTCAAAATGTTACCGATACTTACTTCCTCCATTTTCGCCAACTACTTTACTGATAGGTTGGGAATAGTGCACCATTTGTGCTCGATCTGTTTGCACTTTTCCGGGGAAATGCCTCGCATTTTGATGATATTGTAAAAAAAAATGCACTTTGCGCACCAGCGAATCCACATCCAATAACACATAAAGCAACTGATGATACAGCGCTTGCTACGACTACCATGACAAACTCTCTCTGCAACATAGCTCGATCGGGGTGGTAGAAGGATAATGTTATATTGCAACATAAAGGGTGTCCACGATGAAATTGCCACACTATGAAATTGCTCTAACTTTTTAACCGTTGGGTAGAATTTAATGAAAATTTGGGTGGATTTAGTTCATAGTGCATTATTTACATCCTGCAAGTTTTAAAGTCCTGTGATCAAAACTCGCGGAAATGGAGTCGAAAGAACAGCTCGTGCGTGATAAAATCTTGCGCATTCATCACGAGAACAAGGATCTCTCGCATCGTTCCATCGCTAAAACGTTGGGAATCGTGAATTCCACGGTGTCGCGAGTGATTAAGCGGTTCGAAGAACGGTTGACCACCGATCGGAAGCCCAGAAGTGAAGGAAAAAGTATTCCGTACAACACCAAAAATCACAACCGCGTAGTTGGGGCCTTCAACCGAAATCCGAACGCCTCCGTTAGGGATGTGGCTAAGAAGCTGCATCTAAGCCGAAGTTTTGTCCAGAAGGCCAAAACTAAGGCTGGGCTTCGAACGTTCAAGGTACAAAAGGCCCCTAATCGCGACGAGAAGCAGAACAAGTCCGCCAAAACCCGTGCCAGGAAGTTGTACCTCAACATGCTGACGAAAGTTGAATGCTGCATCATGGACGACGAAACATATGTGAAGGCCGACTTCAAACAGATCCCCGGCAACCTGTTTTTCACGGCCAAGGATAAGTTCAGCGTTCCGGAGCATGTCCGCACTCAGAAGATGTCCAAATTTGCGAAGAAATTCCTGGTTTGGCAAGCCATCTGCACGTGCGGGAAGCGGAGTGCACCTTTCGTGACCCAGGACACGATGAACGGACAGGTGTACATAAAAGAGTGCCTCCAGAAGCAGCTGCTTCCTCTCCTGAAGGCCCACAACGTCCCAACAATCTTCTGGCCGGATTTGGCCTCATGCCACTACTCCAAGGACGTGCTGAAGTGGTATGCGGACAATAAGGTCAATTTCGTGCCGAAAAAGTTCAACCCTCCCAACACTCCGGAGCTCCGCCCCATCGAGAAGTACTGGGCGATTATGAAGCAGCACCTTCTTAAACGACCTAAGGTAGTGAAGACAGTCGAGGAACTGAAGAAAGTATGGGTTTACATGCAAAAAACGGTTGATTCACAGGTTGTGCAGAATCTTATGGCCGGGGTTAAGGCCAAGGTGCGGGCATTTGCGTATGGACTGTAAATAAAATACGAGTAAAATGGTAAAATGAAGTTTAATAGTTATTTCTCAATCCCTGAAAATTTGATGGCAATCGGATGAAAACTCGAATTTTGCGAATCAATTTTGTGTGTGGCAATTTCATCGTGGACACCCTTTACATGGTTGAGGACATAGCTTGATCGGAATCGAGAAATGACACAACAAAAAAATTCCCATTAACACACGTGTATCATCTTCGGCTTTCTTTTGTGCAGCAGGCGTGCCAACAATGTGGTCGTTTACTTCTACCGAGCAAGCTGTGCTGCAGTGGCTGTTTGTTATGAAAAAAAGAGAAATATTATATAATTATTCCTTTCTATTTTTAACAAAGCTTTATCGTTCGGCTCGTTGATCGCTTGTCATTTTGTCATTTGGAGATATTTTTTATTCCTTGTTTTCTAATCTAATCCAATCTAATACAAACGCAGCCAGTACGAGAAAGCATCCTGGAAAATGATTAGGTTAGATGAGGTCTAATCATTTTTCTTGTCTAATTGATGTTTACAGCATATCTGAGATATGATATAAACATCAATACGGGCAGGCCTACTGCGTTGTATTTGCCGCAAAGATGATTCTTGGAAATGAATGGGAACATTTCTTGAATCTACAGGGGTGGAAGGATGCGTGGACATACCGTACCAAACGCTCCGAGTTACTATGTGTAGTTTTGTGTAATGTGTAAATATTTGTACAATATTTTAGAATCATAAAATAATGCAATGGAAGGATTTTACCGAATTTTCTCCTATGTTGGTAATGATTCTTTTGCGCTTAAAAGTTTCGTTGGATGCATCCGCTACTTGTTTATCATGGGGTTTGGGATGCAGTTCCTCGTTATTGCTCGTGGCTATGTTAAGTGATGTGATGAAGATCATTTCTTTCACTAGAAACTACTACTACCTGCCGTGGTCTTCGCTGGGTGCTGATCGTGGGTAGGGCCGGCCGGCCGGCCGGTTTCATCGATGACGACCTGCGTATGGATGCGCTCTGTTTTCGTCGGTGGACCGGTGCTGATGTATCCTTGCTGCTGAATCTTCGTCATCTGAATCTAACATTAGCGGTTCTGCTTGTTCTGTGAAATTTTGTTTTCTCTTCCCTTGGAAAAGCAAATGCAACGGAGATACACTCTGGCTACTTGGAGTCAATAACTGCAGTTTACACTCGCGAAAACACATTTTTTGCCTGCTGGCATGAGCCGGGAGGCGTAGCGCTACAAAAAAAAAAAAAAAAAAAAACGACAGCACACACCGCTACGGACGGAACTCGGTTATATTACGACACGGTTCTACTCGGCGCATGGTCACGATCACTTCACTTCTCGTAATAGAGAAATATTTGGCTGCCATCAATAAACACTACTCAATTACATAAAAAATGCCGAAACAAGCGAAATAAAATGACAGCGAAAAAATAAACACGTCTACTTGCAACCAGAGCCTACTTCGTCCCCTTCAGATATTTTTTATTCCTTGTTTTGCACACAAACTTGTTGAGCAATAAGTAAACAACCACACACATCGATGAACAGCTGATAATCTTCATCGGGGTAGAAATGGCGGCGAATTGAAAGTGTGCTTATATTTTCTGGGACACCCTATATTATAATAACTCATAGTTTCGTGATTTCTAAAAGTAGCATTTTAACTGTAATGAGAATTTCCAACCCTCTCAATTATTATAACTCGAAGACGGTTTTTTAGAATTTTTGAATCTTGATGCTTTTTACAAGGACGAGTGTCTCTTGATTTTTTACAGTTCCCTGAATATTTATAATTTTTTTAGTTTTTTTTTTCTTGAAAAGAAAAAAAAAAGCTAAGTTCAAGATCTCGAAAACATTTATCATGATTATTTTGTTTTTCTAGGCAAAGGTA